TGTTTGTGTCACTGATGAGGGACCATGATGCTATCCAGTTATCAACTTTCCTTTCTCATCTGGAACAAGATTGGACTTCTTTTATTTTCTAGACCATTGGTTCTCACAGGGAATATTTTGTTCCCCAAAAGACACTGAGCAATGTCTGGAAGCATATTTTGATTGTCGCAAATGGCAGGGAAGGATACTGCTGGTATCCACCAGGTAGAGGCCGGGGATGTTGCTAAATATCCTACAATACAGAAGACAGCCAAGCAACAAAGAATTATCCAGCCCAAAATATTAATAGTGCCTAGGTTGAGACACCCTACTATAGAATAAATAGTTCAAAATAGCAAGAGGGTAGAGGTTTTCATGTCTTTGAGAAATATAGAAAATTGAGTCTGTCACATGGTTTCATTCTCTCCCTTGTGCAAACAGAAGAAATAATCTTCTGGGAATGGAAGCCCAGGTCTTCCTGTATCATGCATTCCTTTCTTTTCCCAGTGTATTATAACATGGCAAATGGCCAGAATCTCAGCTGAGAATCCCCTGGCAATTTCTCAGACACAGACATTTTAAACAATAGGGTACAACATGACTAGGTCTATTGCATTTTTTAATATTTAGCACTTAATTGTGAGAGTTATGAACCTAACTTTCCACTTCCTATGGACCTTGTTGGCTGCTCTACTTATTCAAATAATTTAGTGATGTGATTGGGCATCTTTCCATAGTTCTTCTGGTTAATTCTGGAAAAGATTTCAGAAAGAATTGAGTTCCATTTCTAGTTATGTGAGTAGCTGAATTTGATATCTTGAGGCAAACCATTTCAGGCTTCTGTATCCTAACTTCTTCATTGATACAGTAAAGGGAATGGATTAAATAATTGTCATAGTTCCTATAATCTCCATGAGGCTAGGAAACTCTGAACGCCGAGCTTAAAAGAGGGTTGAAGACATGCCCTTTAAGACACAATAATCCCTCTCTGGTAAAAGTACAAGCTAAGAGAGGCAGTGACAAGGCACTGTGTCATTACTGTTGAGTAATGAGACAGATTGAGAAACTAAAACTATTCAGCTCTTTCAGAATCAGGACTTTATGATGCTCACATTAATTATTTTTCTGAGGTGTTGTGGATCTTTTAACATTGAAATGAATGCATCCAAATAGGCTCAATTCTTTTGAATTCACATAGAAATGACTTAAAATGTCCTCATTTTTGAATGAGCTATGTGTGGAGGCACTCATCAAGAAAATATATGTTTTGAAGTCAAGACCAAGGCCTAGACCATTACAATGTTGAGTTTCTTGACTGCAGAAGGCATACCTTATTGATTCATATCTTGGCATAATACCTGGAACATGATAGGTCCTCAATAAATACCCACTGAATAATTGCAGAAATCAAATATTGACTATAATTGGTATATCACAAGACTAAAATACATATATTTTAACAGCTAACTGATTGGCTAGTAATCTTAATGCCACTTATTTAAAGTATCCTTTGAAGATTCATGGACTACTGATTAAGACCAAACTTGGTGTGGGATGCTTTATATTTATCTTTTTGTAACATCAGATTATGATTTAGTTCTGATCATCCTCATTGTACACGTGATAAAACCGAATTTACAGTTATTAATTCAGTTTCTGCTTTCTGTAGCCTGTGGCCTTATGACTACAGTTCTAAACCAAAACATCACATTACTGGGTATGTACCCAAAGGAAAATAAATCATTCTACCAAAGAGACCCATGCACGCATATGTTCATTGCCATGTTATTCAAAACAACAAAGACAGGAAATCAACATAGGTGCCCATTGATAGTGGACTGGATAATGAAAATGTTGTAAATATATACCATGGAATACTACATGGAGATAAAAAGAACAAAATCACGTCGTTTGAAACAACATGGGTACAGCTGGAGGCCATTATTCTAAGTGAATTAACAAGGGATGGAAAACCAAATACTGCATGTTCTCACTTATAAGTGGCAGCTAAACATTGAGTACACATAGATGGGACATAAAGATGGGAACAACAGACACTGTGGACTACTAGATGGGGGAGGAGAAAGGGCATTGTGGGTGGAAAAAAAAAACTGCCTATTGCATACTACGCTCCCTGTCTGGGTAATGGGTTCCAAATCCTAAACCTCAGCATCACACAATATGCTCATTTAACAGATCTGTATTTGTATCCCGTAAATCTAAAATAACAGTTGAAGAAGAAATAAAAATCGCTTTTCTAACTGAAGGGTTATATTTAGAATCAGAAATATGTGATTTATTCTAAATAGATAAGCATACAACTCTATAAATAATCTCTCTACCTAGATATTGTCTTTTTGAAATTCTCAGAGTGATCCCATATGTAAATTTCTCCTTTGAGGAAGACCTTATGAAACACTTCCAGCTTTTCACTGATCCATCCCTAGTATATGTGGGTGGCCTAGGATCCCCGTTTTTATTTTCAGCCCCCCACTGCCCATTTATCTGTCCTAGGAGTTACTATCCAGAAAGGCTGGAGAGCGTTTCCTTTTGGCCAAAGCTTGCACTTCTGTCATTTCTCCATTACTCTCTTTAAGAAATGTCAGCCACAGTTGAGTTAGGTTCCTTAAGGCTAATGGCCAACAGTTCACCCCTCATTCCAGAAGACCTCTGTCTCCTCAGACCCTGCCACACAAGCTCCTCCTCTGTGCCTCAGGAGCATCTGCTTGTTTGTGTTCTCACCTCCACCTGCCAGTCGGCTGTGTGAAGAAGAGATGTCTGATTAGGTCCCTGCTGAAACCGTTTTGCTGCCAACCACAAACACACACATTCCTTCTTAAGGACGAAACCTGCAGCTCTGCTTTCACACTCCTAGCTTGCAGAAAGAAATCCAAGGCTAATAACTTTAGATTTGTGTCAAAGGCATTATGTTCATTAGACATAGTGTAAAAACACAATGCCTTGTACACATGCTAGGGGATTTTTCTATTTCACTTACCAATCCATTGCTACTTTGTTAAGTGTTAATCCAATACTTACATAGTAATGGAATTTTTTTTTTTTTTTTTTGAGACAGAGTCTCACTCTGTCACCCAGGCTGGAGTGCAGTGGTGTGATCATAGCTCACTGCAGTCTGGAACTCCTGGACTCAAGCAATCCTTCTGTCTCAGACTCCGAAGTAGCTAGGACCACAGGCACATTCCACCATGCCTGGCTGTTTTTTATTTTTATTTTTTGTAGAGATGGGGTCTTGTTTTGTTGCCCGGACAGTTATGTCTATTTTTTTTTAGTTCATGCAAAAACATACAGACTTTGGTTTTGCATATTTATAAGGATCTTTGAGTGTTCTTTTGAAAATGGGCTGGTGGATAATAAGCCTAATAAAAACGAATTTATTGAAACCAAATTAAAACTCTTTACACTTCACTGAGAAATGGCATCTATGTTATTGGTATCTGAGATCAATTTTCTAAGAAGGTCATAAGAAAAATTCACAAGTACACAAGAATGTAGAACCACATTGATTTTTTTTTTTAAACTCAACAGCAATCACTAAATTATCTTGTTATTTAAAAATACATTTATTGAAAGCCAACTAACCGCCCAGCATTGTATACCAGGTATACTTTGTAAATAGTGTGATACAAGCATGCAAGTTTCCAATTACTACAGAATCTTAATGATTCTGTAATAATTAAAGAATAATCAATGTATGTATCGGGGTGTATGTGTCAGTAATATTGAACCAGCGAACCAAAAATAATAATAATAAATGCATATGCATGAATACTTTCAAACAATGATAAAGAAAGCATTAAATGAGAAGAATAGGATACTTTAAGAGAAAATGAAGAGGGTCGTTTTCATTTCTTTGGTCCTACTGTGAGTGTGCCAGACACTGGAATAATAGAGATATCATCTAAGACTGAGGCACCAGATTTTCCCTCTAATTAGGGAAGCAACAGATGATCTAACAGGTGACAATCCAGTGTAGGAGTTCTGTGATTACCCCTATGAATGAGGTCTACTGGAGGCCTTAAGGAACCATACTCTATTTGGAAGAGCCAGAAGAGGCATCTGGGAGAAGATGACATATCATCTTGAAAGACCTCGGTTATTTCATTAATGACCACAATGCTCTCAGCACTTTCCCTGAGGTACAAGTCACTTCCCTACAATACTTGCAAAAGGGAATGAAGAGCACACGAATCTGGATGAGAGCAGATAACTTGGGGAAAGAATTAAAGGGTATCAACGTAGAAATGAAGCCTTCTTGTTTCATTGCTTGTTTTACAGCTTGTGGAGTCGAACATTTCTCATAGGGAAAAGGTTAATTATGTTAGAAAAGGGTTATTTACCTAAGGTGCAAATGAAAGGGAAAAAAATCATTTTCTCTATAGCCAAGGTTAGTGCACTCAGGGCCCTCTGATTTATACAGTGCAGCTCCATTGGTCTTTGCGTGTGCCGTTCGTTCCTCTTCATGCTGCAGCCCTTCCTACCTTTCCTCTACTTCACTTTGATAACTTCTACCTGACCTTTGAGAAACGTCCTTAAGTGTCCCTGCCTTAGAGCAGTCCTTCCTGATTCTTCAACATTGAATTAGCTTCTCCTTGATGTCTTAAATATGCTTGGTTTAACCAACTCTTATCTTCCAGAGCCTATTGCAGAATCTTAGAACCCAATAGCTAGATGATTAATAAATATTTGGTGAATTAAAGGATGGATGAATCATCAGTAGATTCATGGCCTTCTGAGAAGATTCACAATATCTAGACTAAACATTCTGTCAAAGTTTACGGTAGCTTGAAGGTAAATTATTCAGTAGAATGGCACCAGGATTACCCCAACCCTAGTTTACTGTAGGTAGATTAGTTACCTATTTGCACATAGGGTTGGTTATCTATTTGCAAATGGGACTGCTGTTATCTGAAGGCTTGACTGTGGCTGGAAAATACATTTGCAAGGTGGCTCACTCATGTACTCACAAGCTGGTTCTGATAAGTTGATTCTTTTCTACTTAGGCCTCTTCCTGGGCCTTTTTGAATATCCTTATGACATGACAGCTGGCTTCCCACTGAGAAAGCAATCTGAAGTGGATTCCAAGGTAAAAACTGAAATGCGTTTTATAAGTTAGTCTTGGAAGTCATACACTTTTGCCATAGTCTATTGGGTAGATAGGTGAGCTGTGATTCAATGTGAAAGGGACGGCACAAAAGAGAGAATACAAGGAAATGAGGATCAATGGAGCCATCTTGGAGCCCTACTATCACATCGGGTTGTGTAAATTCTCCCCTTATTCTTTAAGAAAGGATTCAGAGTCTTTTTCATTTGGCCATACACCAGAGGGGTATTGGGGAAGGTTTTGAAGAAGAGTTTAAACCCAGGGGAACTACACGTGAGCTACACAATAGTTGCTGACAGGCAAAGAGTCTTTGACTTATCTTCAACCTTTCACCTATGGTCCCCCATGCCCTTTGGCAACATAAATAAATTTCCACAATATCCCCCTTCAGTGGGTGTTATTTTCCTTATTATAGATGATAAGTTAGGGTCAAAACACAGTCAGGGGAATCGCCCAAGGGTATACCATATATCACTGTCAGAAGAGGGATTACAACTCAAGGTATCTGAATTCCAAGCTTATGTTTAGACTGGACCACCTCCGGTGCCTAATGAGTTGTGGCATGCACTCACTACTCTGAATTTCCCTTTAATTCTACCTAACCCCTGCTGAATTCATCTCCTTACCACCCCAGCACGCGCGCACACACACATATACACACACACCCTTCACCATTTTCCCATACCTTCAGAAAAACTGAGTAGCCCTTTCATGACAGTCTCTCTTTTGTGCCAATAGGGGACCCCCAGGGGGTATTTTTAGAGTAAGAACTGAGGCTCCCACCTTCAAAATGAGAAAGCTATAATTTTCATATTGTATCTCTTTGCCAATTGTAAATCAGTCATTTTAAGGATGTTTCCCATTCTTGTTTCCCTTCAGGCAGCTCTTATTCCTCTCCGGAAAAAGAAAAGATTTGCTTTATAGCTAACTGCAGGACTGAAATGACATATAAAATAGCAACAGCAGGGAACAAATGTGTCCCTAAAGTGGCAATATGGTGCCTTTTTGTGTGTTTTAAGGCTTTGCAGTGAGAGGCAATTTTTCTTTTCTGGCTTTCTATTTGAATAGTTGTTGAAAATTTAGAAAACAGTATTAGGTGTGTTCACTAATGGGGCCTGACCTGAGTTGTTCTGTACAATCAGTGGTAGATATATATAAAAATATATATTTAATACATTTCAGTATTACTCTGGCCGACTGCTCTGATGGTATTTGCGGGGAAAATCTGTCAAGCTAATAACGAAGAGTGTTCCATTATTAGAGGTGGGTATTTTTGTTTATTATATAATTCTTTTCCCACCAAAATCATTGGTGTTCTATATCATTAATTGGAAAACCATAGAATAAAAACCGATTTTATTCCCTCCTTTGTCTTTTCTTTTCCTTCCTTTCAATGTAAGAAATAGCCATTCTGAGTGTCAAGCCTAGTTTCTTTTACTTTTGTCAAATAGGACAATTCAAACATTTCTTTTGAAACAAAGAAGCCGAAAGCCAAAGTAATGTCTATGTTTCTCCAAACTCCCTACAGTATCAATAAATCCAAAGAGCTGACAGCATGGGCAAAGTTCTACACTGAGAGAAAAAGCAAATTGGATCAACAGTGTTGTTCATTATCCTCCATATTAGAAAACAATGCTGCTGGAGAGAAGGAGGTTATTTCCTGGAGGGAAGACCCCGGTGTGACCTGCCTTTCTCACCACACTGCCTGGATGCTGCCTCCCTCACAGCTGAGACTTGTAAGCCCAATTTTAAACAAGGGAAGGAATGCCTGCTTGTTATTTTTTTCCTTCTGCACCCCTTCTCCCCAACCTCACTTCACATTGCTAAACCAGGTCTTATCCTATCCCCTTTAACATTCAACACATGCAATATTATGGTATGACTTAATCTCCAAAGATCACTGTTCTGCAGTAGTAGTTGGAAGAAGAGGGATAGCCATACATTCAGATGTGTCCTCATCCACACACACGATGTAAAAGAATTTCTCACAAAGCCCAGCAGTGTGGTACAGTGGTGAGGGCAACTGCCTTGATTCTCATTCTTCATCTGCCTCTGACAACCTGGGCAAACTTGGACTTCTCTACTTAGTCTTCTCATCTGGCAGATGATCTGCTAACTCCTTTCTATTTCTAAATGCTTTTCTGACTTGAGGGTTCCAGACCCAAGGGTGACATTTCCAGACTGTGGGCCTGAGGAGTGGGGTTTTAAGGGATTGTCGAGAGCCCAGGTGCACAGTGAGAGTGGGATTAGAGAAGAAGCAAAAGCAAGCTTACCACTGGTCTTTGTTGTGGCCTAAGGGAAATATGAATCATGTGCTTTCCTCTCCAGATTCAAAACCATATGAGAGAGAGATGCAGGAGCCAGGGCTCAAAAGGTCAACCTAATTACTGGCAACCTTGAACTGGAAACCTGGCTTGGGACTAGGCTCAAATGGGCTTCCAACTCTTTCCCTCCCTGATTGCACACCCTGTTCCAAGTTAATAATTTTTTTTTTTATGTTTAGCACTTAATATGTGTTCTAAGTCCTTGACATGGAATAAAAACTCGCTTAAATTTTACACTAATCCGTTCGGGTAGATACTATTATATCCTTATTTTATAGGTGAAAACACTGGGGCACAGACAGGTTGAGTAAGGTTGTAGAGCTTGTATGTGACAGAATAGCACTGATAACCTGGCATCGTGCACGGGCTATCACTACACTAGTCCCAAGCATGCAAAGCACCTGGCAGAGGGGAAACTCCTTCTCCTGCAGAGCTGGTCCGGGGGAGCTGGGGAGAGTGGCGAGTGTGTGAGGGTCTGCAGGGGCCTTAATGGGCCTTCTCCTTATCTCACCAGTGAGATGAAAGTCACTCCTTGGAGGAATGAGTGAGCAGTGTCAGTGTTCTTCCAAGAGGACAGATGTTTTTATTATGTGAGCCAAGGCAGGAACACAGGGAAAGAGGGAGAAAATACCCTTGAAAGGCAGCTCATTTCTTCAGAATGCTAAGAAATGCCACTGCCATGATCTCCATTACAGGCCAAGAGATAAGGGTTTGATTGCCTTTTGGAGAAGTCCAGCCCCAGAATGGTGTGAAGCAGGACAGGCTATATTATTTGTAGGGTCCAGTACAAAAGAAAATGCAGGGTTCCTTGTTCAAAATTATCAATAATTTCAAGATGGTGACAACAGCATGAACCCAAGCACAGGGCCCTGTCTAAGCATGGAGTCCTGTGTGACCGCACCAGATGGTGACAACAGAGCATGAACCCAAGAACAGGGCCCTGTCTAAGCATGCAGTCCTGAGTGACCACACCATCACATGCCCATGGAGCCAGCCGTGGGCATGGTGATAAGTCCAGATACTCAGATCTAGGACATGCTGAAGGTGATTTCTTGTTGAGTCGAAGACAGCAAGATCATTATACCACTTTGATTGATGTGAAGCTGCAGAATGGCTTACAGCTGCACATTAGAAGCACCTGGGGAGCTCTTAAAACCTTCTGATGGTGTGTTTACTTTACCTTACACCAACTGAATCAGCATCTCTGGGGGCAGAGTCCAGGTAATTGGTGCTTTTTAAAAGCTTCCCATGTGGTTCCAATTTATTTTCTAATTAGCTCAAGGGTCTTCAGGGAGACATCTTGGTTGTGGTTCTAGAATTCTCCTTTTGAAGATCTTCAAGTCTGAAACACTATATGGGCAGCACTACATCTGAGACCGACAGGTAATGTGAACTAGTGAAGGATGCTAAGAATTAGGAAGACACACTCTCAGCAGCAGATCCTCAAGAGACAGAAGAGAGCAAAAGAGAATATTGCAAACGCGAGAGCCCAGAGAACGTCTGAAGGGAGTGACATCTCCTCAGTCCTTGACCCACTGTTGCCCTGAGGAAGGTGTCCCTGGGTGGCCAGAGCATGTTATCTATCAAGAGAACTTGGACATCAAGATTGTTAAATGAAGTATCTCAATTTTTCCATGTGCTGACAAACAAAAAACAGAATAAGAACAAAAACTATGGAGTGGCTCTATTCTGGCCCTGCAAAATAGCAGAGGGGTGAACAGACTGCCAGTTAGCAGCTGAATTAAACAGTCATGGAATCAGAGACTCATACGCAGTAGAACTAGAAAACACCTTCGTTATATGGATGAGGAAACTGAAGTTCAGACAGCGGGAAGGGACCCAATCAGGTATACCGCGAGCGTTCAGCAAGGCTAGGTGTAGAACATGGGGCTTCTTTTCTGATTCCTATATCCTTTCCATTACAGTGTATCTTATTTGGAGAAGAAATGCAAACAGATGCAAAATTCAATGATTTCTCACAGAGTATTTGACAAAGTTAGCTAGAACGTCATCTCACATTAAATTGTCCTTCTAATGGTTTAAATGACTAGCCATGCTTCGAATTAATGCAGATCTCCTATTTTTGCTCTTTTTTGCATGGCTACATCCCTAGTACCTAGAATGTGTGCCTGACTCATGGCAGATGCTTGATAAATATTTGTGGAATGAATGATTGCATAAATGAGTGACTATCACAGAGATACAGCCCTCCTAGTTTTGTTTTGTTTTGTTTTGTTTTGAGAGAGAGTCTCGCTCTGTTGCCCAGGCTGGAGTGCAGTGGTGGTGCAATCTTGACTCACTGCAAGCTCCACCTCCCGGGTTCAGGCCATTCTCCTGCCTCAGCCTCTGGGGTAGCTGGGACTACAGGCGTACGCTACTATGCCTGGTTAATTTTTTGTATTTTTAGTAGAGACGGGGTTTCACCAGGATAGTCTCAATCTCCTGACCTCGTGATCCACCCGCCTCGGCCTCCCAAAGTGCTGGGATTACAGGCGTGAGCCACCACACCCGGCCGGTATTTGTGTGTGTTGTTTTTTTTAAACCAACGCATTTTTAAATTATCATATCTACATTATTAAATCACATTTTAAGCTGTTTGGTTGAATTCACTAATATAATAAATTAAAGCTATATTTCCTGAAAAGAAAGGAATCATTCATTGCAGAAAGGACAATATTGCTCTAATTTAAAATTAGTCGATAAGCTCTTGCTTCTTTGTTTCTTTTCCCCGAAAGTTTTTTTTTTTTTAAGATGGAGTTTTGCTCTTGTCACTCAGGCTGGAGTGCAGTGGCGTGATCTCAGCTCACTGCAACCTCCGCCTCCCAGGTTCAAGCTATTCTCCTGCCTCAGCCTCCTGAGTAGCTGGGATTACAAGCGCCCAACACCATGCCCAGCTAATATTTTGTAGTTTTAGTAGAGACAGAGTTTCACCATGTTGGGCAGGCTGGTCTCGAACTCCTGACTTCAGGTGATCCACCCATCTCGGCCTGCCAAAGTGCTGGGATTACAGGCTTGAACCACTGCAGCCAGCCTCCCTGAAAGTTTTTATAATGCCAAGCAACATGGTAACAGATAGGCTACCTGGCTGAGACTGGGCATCCTGAACTTTTAATCATGTCTCTGACCCCTATGACACAGGGTAGCAACTGGAAACCATAAAACATGTGGTACTGCGTCTTGTAGTCTTGCCTCAGTGCTCGCTTGCCTTACATGCTTGGAGCTTTTAAATGGATGTGCACAATATAGATTAGGTCTCATAGTTAATTTGGATCAAGTGACTGAGGACACAGGTTTTCCTAAGATCTTATTTATATGCCCAGGTAGGAGAAATACACTTTTGCAAGGCAGCTGACAGTTTTGTGAAACATTTTCCACAGAAGATGAGCTCTGCCAGGGAGGAGAGTGCGGCATGTATCACTCTTCCAGTTTTTTCAGATGGAAAATTCTCAATTGACTGAGGTTACAAGGCTGAAAAGTGGTGGAGTCGAGATTTCTGGAGTCCAGACTGTGGCTTTGAGAATTACTCTAAACATCAGATTGTTTATGAAGAAGGAATCTGTATGCATCCGGAATCCCTGTAGGCTTGTGGATCTGTGGAAAAAATTATCAAAGCATGGCAAGACCAGCTGGCATGGATTTTCAGAGACATGGAGTCGGCAGCACATGCCAGGGATGGTCTGTGCTTAGAGGAAGGGGCTTGCCTGCTGAGATCTTTCTCCCCCCTGTGGCTCTTTGATTCTCTAAAATGATTGTGATAACAACAGAAGGGAAATGTGATAGCCAAGGAAGATGGTTTGGATGAGATCTTGCAGAATGAAGTGGGTGTTAGGGAAATCCAGGCTCATTCACTTCATTCAGGCACAAAAAGAATTTGTGAAAGAGGAATATTAAAATAAACAATTTAAAAATAACACACTTTTACTGTCTCACCTTGACTTACTCTGGTCTGGTAGCTACCAGGCTTCTTTGGACTTTTTTTTTTTTTTTTTTTTCCAGCTGAGACAACAGTCAAATATTGACTTATCAAAATAGCAATTTCAGTTTCCCTCTAATATTTTTAGCATATTATGAATTTCATTATAGAGATATTAAAGATTTTTTTGATTCACTCTCTGAGGATAAGGGATTTACATCTTCAAGAGCCAATAATTAATTAAGGGGAACAAGAAGCAATGGGTAAGTGGGGCTGAGGGTTCAACAACCTTTTCCCAGTTGGTAAGAGCCTGGGAAAGGAAGCCCTTTTCATGTTAATTTAAAACTTAACTCTGCTGCGTTCCTCTACCTGAGCAAATAAACACACTGGCTGGGGGTGGGGGAGCTCTGCTTTCTTCTGGGATAGACTGACAGCCTCAGCAGTATTTAGGGTAACAATAATGACATGTGTGTGGAGCACATACAGTGTGCCAGGCACTCTACTAAGAATGTTACAGACGTGATCACATTTGTTCTTTTAAAAAACTGCATAGAGTGGTTATTATCCCCATTTTACAGACAAAACAGGCTCAGAGAAGTTTAGTAACTTGCCCAGGTTCACACAGCTCGCAAGTAGAAGGATGGAGTCTATCTGTATCCAGTGGCTGGTTCTTCATCTTCACTATACAGACTTCCAAAGGCAGCATCCACTCAATAAACACCGAAGGAGCCCCTCTGTGCCTCTGTGGACCAGGCATGCAGGCAAACAAGTTTTTTGTTTGTTTATTTTTTTTACCCAAACCAGTAGGGTTGTAGACTAGGCTTGCAAAGAGCTGGAGAATATAAGAGAAATCAGAGGCTTGAAGTTTCCTGAAATAACCTTGAGACTGATGCTCCTCATGGGAAGAGAACTTTTATCCACCTCCTCCCCATCAGAGAATGTTGGAGGGGTCACATAGAAGGGACCCATGTGTGAATCATTAAGACCACAGGCCTAAGACCAGAGACGCCTTCCAGAGTTGGATGTGGATTGGGAAATTAGCAGGGCCTCTTACTAATTGAGCTATTTAATCCTCAGGGAAGTTCAATGTCATTGTCATTTTTGGACTTATGAGTGTCATAAGGCTGGTTGCCTTTTGATGATAATGATAATGAGTAAACATTAGATTCACATTCCGTTACTGAATCTCTGGTAATCATACTAACAACTAGCATTTATTGGGTATCCACTATTTTCTAGATTTTTTTTTTACTTATATATCTCTATGCTCCTGCCTGGAGAGAGGTGTCATTATCCCTTTTTAAATTTGGAAACAAAAATCACAGGTTTAGAAAAATTAAGTCATGTCAACCTACGTCTGTCTGGCTCTCGGGCCTATGCTGTGTGCACTACTGAGACTCTGCTAGGGACCAGAGGGAGTAGAAACAAGAAAGTATAACACACAGCTTACTCTCAAGGTGTTAACAAAACTATCAGGGAAAAGAGGTGTAGCTGAGTACTGAAGAACTGGCTTTTGAGTATGACTTATTAAATGGTGAATTCAGGCAAGTTGTTTAGCTTCCCCAAGTCTCAGTTTCCTTAACTGTAAAATGGACATAATAAAATGACCTACCTGCTAGGGCAGTGGTGATTATTGGATAAGAAATCTCTTCAAGGACTTTATTGCATAAGAATAAAGGCCAGGCCAGGTGCGGTAGCTCATGTCTGGAATCTCAACACTTTGGGAGGCCGAGGCAGGCGGATCATAAGGTCAGGAGATTGAGACCAGCCTGGCCAACATGGTGAAACTTTGTCTCTACTAAAACTACAAAAATTAGCTGGGCTTGGTGGTGGGCGCCTGTAATCCCAGCTACTCAGGAGGCTG